GAAAAAAGCAAGATGATTTTGTTTGCACAAACAGGGGATCTGAGGATGTAGTTATTTACTGTGAAGAGAAAAAAACTAATGGCGAGATGCATGTTGACATTTTAGTTAGTGAGGATGGCAAGAAGAAAAAAAAAGAGTAGGATGCAAGACAGTTCTTGTTGAGCAAACTATAAAGTTTATTGTGATCACGGTGCCATGCAAGAGTTCCTCTAAGTTGCTGCAAAAGATAAGGATAACGTAGTTACTTTTGGTGAAAACAAAAAAGTTGACGGCGACTACCATATTGACATAGAAGTTATAGAGGGTGGCAAGAAGAAAGAAAAAGAGGAGATTGCGAGACTATTTTGATCAAACAAACTAGGGAGCTGATGATAATTAGGATGTCATGAAAGAGGTCAGTGAGTGAGAACAGCAACAAAAAAAAAGTGAAACTCATAGAGAATGGCAAGAAGAATGAAAAAGAGTATATTGCGAGTCTATGTTGATCAAACAAACTAGGGAGCTGATGATGATTAGAATGTCATGAAAGAGGTCAGTGAGTGAGAACAGCAACAAAAAAAAGTGAAAGTCATAGAGAATGGCAAGAAGAATGAAAAAGAGTATATTGCGAGTCTATGTTGATCAAACAAACTAGGGAGCTGATGATGATGAGGATGTCATGAAAGAGGTCGGTGACTGATAACATCAACAAACATAAGTAGAAGTCATAAAGGATGGCAAGAAGAAAGAAAAAGAAATGAAGCCAGACTATTTTGATCAAACAAACTAGGGAGCTGATGATGATGATGATGTCATGAAAGAGGTCGGTGAGTGATAACCGCACCAAAAAAAAAAGGAAGCAAGACGATTCTTGTCAAGCAAAGTAGAAAGTCTATCGTAATCAAGGTGTTATGCAAGAGGTCATGAAAGTTGTTATGAAAGAGTAGGAGAAAGTAGTTACTTTTGGTGAAGACAAAAAGGCTCATAGCAAGTTCCATATTGACGTAACAATCATAGAGGATGGCAAGAAGAAAGAAAAAGAGGAGAAAGTGAGATGATTTTGATTGAGCAAACTTGAGAGCTTATGATAATCAGGATGTCATGAAAGAGGTCGTTGAAGTTGTTGCAAAAGAGGAGGAGAAGGTAGTTACTTCCTCTGGAAAGTAAAAGGCTGACGGCGAGTGCCATGATGGCGTAGTGATCATAGAGTATGGTGAGAAGAAAGAAGAAGAGATTGTGATATGATTATGATCAAGCAAACTAGTGAGCTAACGATAATCAAAATGTCATGCAAAAGATAGTGAAAATTGCTGCAAAAGAGGAGGAGAAAGAAATTACTCACACTAAAGAGAAAAAGGCGGACAGCAAGAAACATGTTAAAGTCGTATTTTGCGAGGATGGCAAGAAGAAAGAAGAAGAGGAAAAAGTGAGATGGTTCTGGTGGAGCAAATAGGAGAGCTAATGATGATTAGTATGTCATGCAAGGGGTTGTGAAAATTGCTGCAAAAGAGGAGGAGAACGTCGTTACTCTTGGTGAATTGAAAAAGTATGGCAAGAAAAAAAATGACAAGGAAGTGAGATGATTCTGGTTGAGTAAACAAGGAAGCCAATGATGATCTAGGTGTCATGCAAGAGATCCTGGAAGTTAATGTAAAGAGGAGATGGAAGTAGTTACTCACGATGAAGAGAAAAAGCTGACTACGAGTATCATGTTGACATCGGACTAAGAGAAGATGTTGAAAAAAAAGAAGAAGGGAAGGAATCAAGATAGTTCTAATCGAGCCAATAGGATAGCTAATGATGATTGAAATGTCATGCAAGAAGTTATGCAAATTGCTGCTAAAGAGTAAAAAGTGATTACTTTTGGTGAAGAGAATAAGGCTGACGGCGACTACCATGTTAACATTGTAGTGAATGAGGATGATGAGAAGAAAATAGAAGGAAAGGAAGCAATACGGTTTTGATCAAACAAAATGGAGAGCTGATGGTGATTAGAATGTCATTCAAGAAATTGTGTAAGTTGTTGTGAAAGAGGAGTAGAACTTAGTTTCTTGCGATAGAGAGAGAAAGTTTTACGACGACTACCATGTTAACAACGCAATCACTGAAAATGATGAGAAGAAAAAAGAAGAGGAAGAAGCTAGATGATTTTGGTCAGGAAAACTCGGAGCCTGATATGATAAGGTTGTCATGCAAGAGCTCGTGGAAGTTGATGCAAAAAATGAGGAGAATGGAGTTACTCCTGTTGAAGAGAAAAAGTTTGACCATATTGATCATATTGACGGCACAGTTTGTGATAATGGCAAGAAGAATGAAGAAGAGAAGAAAGCGAGATGATTATTTTGAGCAACTCAAAATGTTGATTGTGATCACGGTTTCATGCAAAAAAAATTGAAAGTTGTTGCTAAAGAGAAAACAGTAATTATTCTCGGCGAAGAGAAAAACTCTAATAGTGAGTATCATGTTCACGCCACAATCAGTAAGATGGCAAGATAAAATAGAATAGGAGGAAGTGAGATTGTTCTGGTCAAGCAAACGGGAAAGCTGATGGTGATGAGTGCGTCATGCAAGAGATCATGAAAGTTGTTGCAAAAGAGGAGGACAAAGTAATTACTTCTGATGAAGAGAAATAGACTCACGGTAAGCATCATGTTGACGCCGTAGTCAATGAGATGATAGGAAAACAAAATAGGAAATGAGATGAGTGTGATCGCGCAATCAAAGGAGCTAATGATGATAAGGATGTCATGCAAGAGGTTGTGGAAGTAGCTTTGAAAGAGGAGTAGAAAGTTATCACTCCCGGTGAAGAGAAAAAGGTTGACCGCAAGTACCATGTTAACACCGTAGTCAGTGAGGATGGCGAGAAGAAAGAAGAAGAAGAGGACGTAAGATGGTTCTTGTGGAGCAAACTGGGAAGTTGATAGTGATAAAGGAGTACGTTTGTGAGTACAAGCTAAAGTTTCAGTAAGTTCTTGCCAATATCCACGTCATGATATTAGAAACATAAATCCAGTAGTGCACTTATGGCATGTTGAAAGAGCACATGCTGCTGCTGCTGCAGCTGGTTTTCAAAAAGGAATTGATTGTGATTTTGAAATAATTCTTCCTATGACACCTCTTAATTAATTATAAACTAAAAAACAAGAAAAATACAATTTATTTGCTTTTTACTTGTTTTTTTACTTAGGATGTCATGCAAGAGGTTGTGGAAGTTACCACAAAAGAAGAGGAGAAAGTAGTTCTTCCAAGTGAAGAGAAAAGACAACAAGTATCATGTTGACGCTGCAGTCATTGAGATGATTCTAGTCAAGCAAGCTTGGGAGCTGATGGTGATTAGGGTGTCATTCAAGAGATCTTGAAAGTTGTTGCAAGAGAGAAAAAACATTTAATTACTTCCGATGAAAAGAAAAAGCCTGATGGCGGGTATCGTGTTGATGCCACAATCATTGAAAATGGCAAGGTAAAAAAAAAACAAGATGGTTCAATTAGAGCAATTAATTTTTGTGCAAGTGCAATGCAAGAGTACAAGAAAGTAGTTACTCCAGTTGAAGAAAAATGAATGACCTCGAATACCATGTTGACGCCGCAGTCAGTGAGGATGGCGAGAAAAAATATATGACGCAAGATGGTTCCCATCGAGCAAACTAGAAAATTAATTGTGATCAGAGTGTCATGCAAGAGATCTTGGAAGTTGTTGCAAAAATTGAAGATAACGTAGTTACTCCCAGTGAAGTGGGGAAGCTTAACGACAAAAACCATGTTGACACCATAGTCATTGAGGATGGCGAGAAGATTAAGAAAAAGGAGGAAGTGAGATGATTAACGTCAAAAAAATAGTGGAGCTGATGGTGATCACGGTCTCATGCAAGAGCTTCTAGATATTGTCACAAACAATGAAGAGAAAAAGCTGCCAATGAGTATCATGTTGAACCATGGTAAGTGATGATGGCAAGAAGAAAGAATAAGAGGAGGAAGCGAGACGGTTCTAGTCGAGCAAACAGGAAGCTGATGATGATCAAGGTGTTATAGAAGAGATCATGGAAGTTGATGTGAAATAAGAGGAGAACTTAGTTACTATAAGTGAAAAGAAAAAGTCTAACAACGAGTAGCATGCTGAAGCCGCAAGTCACTCACTGAGGTGGCAAGAAGAAAGAAGAAGAGGAGGAACACAACTAGATGACATTGGAGTAATATGAGAAGATTCTTGAGGAAAAGCTCAAATCTCTTGCCGCAAGCAAAGGGGAGGGTGACAAGGTTTTGACACCATGATCAACAAAAAATAAACTGAAGAGATTGTATTTACTAAATTGAGCGTTTACAAAGAGAAGAAGAAAAAAGACCTAGAGTACCTAGACAAGGAAGAGAAATCGAAAAAGCCTGAAAGCATCAATGATTTCAAGTACATTGAGCTATTGAGGTATGGACACAGCGTAACTTGTGGTTGCGGACGTGGTGGTGATGGATGCGCTGCGGATGGAGAAGGCGGTGCTTTCAATGGTGCCAGGTGGAGATTCAACCATGGCGACGAGTCTTCAACCCTCGTATTGAGTAACATAATTTTTCACTCTAGGTGGCAAGTGGTGGTTGTGTGCACTGAGGTCGTTGTGTCGTTTCTATAGTAGACGTGGTAGAAAAATTAGTTTTTTTGGCCATGTCTTAGAAAGTTGATAACAGAATGTAACAAAAGAGTTACTGTAGCAATGGTGTCTAATCAGAATCACTTCGGTACTTCTGATACCAAAATTATTTTGTTCCCTTTTGATTTTCCCAACATGATTTCATTTATCTGGTTTGGTTGTAACCATACTTCACTCCATCATTTATCTCCTCATACATCAAAACAACGAGCACCTCATACATTATCTAACATCAAGAGATCACAACTACCCTACTTTTGAGATGATGAAATATATTTACTATTATAGTTTACAACTAGAGTCTTATCTTATCATTTAAAAGAATAAAAATTGAACTTTATAAATCAAATCAAATAAGAAAATATTTCCAGAAAAAAACACATCAACTATATCTCTATAAAATTGTAATTTCCATCAAATAAATGTATTACTGGGACGTAAATGAACAGAGCTCAGCACAAAGCTGCTGAGCTCCATCTCCTTCATCCTCTAGCACCAGAAACGCGAGAAATCTGGACAGTCATCACGAGGTCGCAAATGCTTGCTCGATGTGGTTGTGGATCCAAATAATTTTCTTTCGCGAGTTTTATTTTCACCGTCCTTGACTTCGTTAAGGGCTTGTACCTTCTTCGACGAAATAGGACGCACACGTGCTTCATGAGACAGGAGCAAGCTGAATTTCCGCCCTGCGCTGCAAGAACTGAAGCTCGATCGGTTCGATCCTCAAGCGTGGCCAACATCTCAGAAACGTTATCTCTGATTCTGCCTCGCGGAATCTACAGACTCGACATCGTCGACATCCTCCTCATCTGGGACCCAATCGATGAACGAGGTTGCAGGCCTCAGCAAGCACGATCGCTGTTTCAAAGCATCACCGTGAGCGACAAAGAACGGGTCCAAACAGCTGGACACGTCCTGGCTACAAGTCACCATTGGACTAAATCCGTGAGCAGACCTCAGAGCAGCCTGCTCTCGGCGGATCCGGGCCCCTTTCTCTCTCGATCGAAAGAGAGGTAGGTAGCTCGTTCTCTGATTTCCTACACTCGAAGCATCCGGCACACTGGGGCTCTCTTGTGTTGCTCTTCGTTCGTCGTCAGGTGGACTGTTACTTCATCTAGACTAACAGAGCGTTGGTCACAGAGACCTGCGATGTCGGATGCTCTGTAGCTTCTCGATTATGCGATAGTATCCATCTACGTTCGTCAGTAGTGAGGTGGTAGGTAGAATGCAGAAGAAAACGATCGGGTGTACAAATTTGGCCAAAAACAAATATCCCTGTGGAGATTAGCATAAAGGTAAGGCTTTATCTCCTCGCTTGATAGCTGCTATATTGGGCGATCCACGAGGCTACCCGAGGATACACTTGGAGATGCCAAGGCGATATTATGGCTGTCACGATTTCTAAGAGTATGCTTTCTTTGCGGGAGTTCTCTTTCCAGCTGGAGATGTCAGAGGTCCAGTCAATTGTCATCTGAAACTGGGTGAGCCAGGTTGTGGGGAAATAGCCGCAGAGTGGTTTCGCGAACGAGACAATGAAGGCAAGACCACGACAAATGCTTCGCTAATGTTTTGTTTGCTATGTTTAGCAGCTCAGTCGCACATAAATCTTTCTTTTAGACCCCTCACTATCAGCCTTCTCTGACAAGAATCTGCCCCGACAGTCGAGAAGGTGTAACTTTACGAGGAGCTTGGTGTTCTCACGTCTCAATCGCTGTCAGAGACGTGAATTCTGTTCGGTTTCTTCTGTGTGTCAGCCGTACGGTCCAGGTACATCTTCACGAGAAAGAATTGTTCCTTCTATTCACGACTTCAGGCACTGACAACAGCAGAGAAGACGAAGTTCAAGCTTCGCTCTGAATTGGCCAGAAATTGTTCAATCGTTTGTAACAGCATAGTAGAGTTGTCAAGGCAAAGTCCCTCACCTGAGCCCATGAATGTTGGAGTCTCGACTCTCTCGAACAGCGAGAAGCGGACATCGATCCTTTATTAGGCCTCACTATCTTCAACAGCTTCCTCCAGGCCGTGATTAGTTCACAAAGCTCACGTTTACGTTGATCCTGGTGAAAGATCCATGGTCGCAGCTGAGGTGCTCTCGAGCACTTCACAGTTCTTATGACTGCACGCCTGTTCATAGGCAGTCAGCTCCCGCCAATTGAGAACCCAATAAAGGAACGTATGAAAGATACAGCTCAGTCCGTCATCGACAAGCTGAGATGGAATGTGCATGCCAATTTCATGTCTTCAACCCCAAGACATTTTACAATAGCAAGTCGATCTCGAGAGTAAACGCAGGACCGGATGCGCAGAGTCTGGAAGCAAACCATTTTACAATTATTTCCAGTACAATTCAGCAAAGGTTTGACGGAGTGGGACGCAAATGCACGAATTGCTCGTCTTGGATCGACCCGTCAGTCGGAAAACCGTCCACATCCTCAACATGTGGGGGGTGTTTTCGAGATGCAACATGACAGGCACAGGGCAACCTCTACGACACCTTGCATCGCCATTAATGAACTAATCATTGAGTGTTCAGAGAGCACAATCCTGCTCTACCTGGACTATCATGGCCACTAAGACTACACATTGCAGCATGGCGGTGTACTCAACCACTCGTCACTTATTTTCTGGCTCAGCTCTACACTCTTCCGAACATGGCCGATCTGTTTGGCCTTGAGGCTGCTTGACCCTTGATACGTTCGTTCCAGCTTCGCGGACCACATGGGCCGATGCTGTCGAGATCAGAGTGAGGCTGCAGACGAGAGTGTGCAACCAGAGGACCTCAGAAGAAGACAAAAACCACCATCAGCTACGATGTGAGAAGGTGAGATCAAAGCTCGGACTGCTGCTGGCACTACAACATTCGATTTAGATCCTCCTCCAGGCTTTTACGCAAATTGGGAGGAAACCGCACCTCGATTGCGACGAATCGGTTCACCACGCCCACATCTCCAGACTACGGGTCGGAATCGACAGTTGCATCGTTCTATTGGGCGACTCTCCTCTGCAATGCTTCTCTCACGGCTTCTCCATGGTCGGAGTCTGGCTCGAAGACCACCTCTTGTAAGGTTGAATTGACCGTCAGCGCGTCCATCAGCTCTCTGAAGTCCGAGTCCGAGTCCGCAGATGATCCGTCCAGCACCAGCTTCTTCAAGCTCTTGTTCTCCCTCAGGGCTCTGAAGAAAAGCTCATACCTCAAGGGCTCCTCGTCTTCGTCCTGAGCCCACTCGCCGAGACTTTCGATGTCCAACTCTTCCAAGGTGGCCGAGGTCCGAATCCAGTCCAGAAATTCGGCTTCCGCATTTCTCTTGAGGAAGTAGCCTCGCAGCCGAATAATTCTTATCGAGGAGTTGGATCTCAGAGCTGCGTAGAACGCCGGCAGGTTCAGATCGGCACTGCCAGGGCCTCTGCACTCTCCGATGTGCAGATCCAGATGGCTGATAGTCGTGTTGGACTCCACGAGCTTCACCACTCGCGAGAACGTGTCCGCATCGATGAAGCCTCCGTCCTCGGGGTCCGGGTAATCCCACCTCTCGAAGCTCGGCAGGACCAGAGTCCGGAGGGTGGTGTTGGAGATCAGAGAATCGAAAAGCTCCAGCGTCTCCCTCCGCCCGGTGCCATCGACCCCCTTCCACTGGAACTCGAGCTTGGTCAAATTGGAGTTTTCTCGAATCACCTGGGGCAGCACTCCGAGCCTCATGAAATCTCCATCAGTGCCTGAGCCCTCGATGATCAAGGAGCGGACGGATGTGTTGGGCCGCGGTCCCAGGAATGCGGTCCGGAGGACGGTGTCGTTGGGCCAAGAGTGATCTTCGTCATCACTCTCCTCCTCGTCCGGTTCATGCACGGGATCCAGCTGCAAGACCAACACCTCCAAGTGCTGGCTCGACGCTATGGCCTCTCCCACCAGCTGAGCTTCGTTCAGTTCCATCTCCACGTAACTCAAATCGATGATTCTCTGAGCTGCCGAACCGAGTTCCTGCAGAATCTTCTGGACCCTGGCTGACACCTGCTGCGCTTCGGTCTTGTTTCTTGGACCACCGGGGGATCCATTTGCATCAGGGCTAGGACTGGCAGGCTCTTGCTGCGACATCGCTCGACTCTCGATGACTTTACACTCCTGCAGGAAATTCTAGTCTACTCGTGTGACGGTCAGAAGGCAGAGTTCTGTCTCCCCTGCTGCACCACACTTCGAAACCTGCTGGCAGAGCAGGGCACCTTCCTGTCTTCCAATGTATAATCCCGATACAAATGGCAGAGCGCCCAGCTAATTGTGCCCTGTGGCCTTGCAGCGATTCCTGGCAAATGCTGCAAGTTCTAGAGCGTTTACGACTCAGATAGAGGACTCGGCCCACTGATCAAGGCAATCGAGCACCCGGTACATGACCAGCTGCTACCAACTTGCTAGCTCTTCATACGCAGCATGTGACCCGGTGATTTTATGGAGCTCAACCTCTGCATTTTACAAGAGCATTTCTCCCAACGATTGCCTCTTTGTTCGGACAGCTTGGTTGTCAGCGATCACGATCTGTGTCTTTTACTGCAGGCCCAACCGAACCAACTCAGAAACACACGTTAGAATACACGAGATTCGGATAGCAATACACTGTGCGTGCGTTTTTCTTTTCTAAGCTTTCCTCACCCTCGGCTGTAAAGGAATCTGGGCTACAGACAACATATATCATTGGTCTGAGCTTCCACCGACTACACAATGACATGAAAGTGCCTTAACTGCAGTAGTGTCGGTGTCTGGCTCTGAGCCATGGATCCACTTACGAAGTGGCACGAGGGGTGCAGTTAAGAGAGTCGAGAGAGGACGACGGACAAGCAGCGAGTGAAAGAGTGAACAGATTTCCTTCAGGCTACTGGGAGATACGGAGCAATATTCTGCCGGCTTGTGACAGTGAGCTATGATGGTTCGGGACGCCTGAGCGAGGAAGGAATAGATGGACTTGAAGCTTAATTCGGCAAGCGTCCGAGCATCATCGGTATAGTAGGGACACAAGTAGACTCAGAAGCGAGATGGCGAAGGAGGCGTTATCTAAATTTGGTCCGGGTCTATCATCTTCGTGATACCTGGAGCGCGATGATGGAGCCTTATCCGATGTGCAGAAAGGGAGAGTCGACCTTTTACTAATCATTGATCTGCTGCTCAGTTACATCTGGCCAGCTTACCACTTCATACAGCAATTGCAGGAAAGCTCGTAATGTCTTGCAGGACTCGTGTCATCGGGAACTGGAAGTGGTAGTCATCCTATTGTCCACTGGTATTCGGATCATTTGATCCTTCCTTCTCCTCGAGACTCAGATTATTACTTTGAATGCTGCACGGGCTCAAAATATGGGGCCGTTCATGACTAAAAGGGCATTGTCGCAACTGATTTCTCCATTTTTTGACACCTCATCCTTGTTTCATTCCGGCCTGTCGAAACTCTTGGAAGTCGTCAACACTTCTTACTATTTGTTTACTACGACTACACATTCTTGTGAAGCCCACCGGTTTCAACCGGTGGTATGTGCAATGGTACACCTAGTCATTGCACGTAAACTGCTAGACATTCCATTGACAGTCCTTCATCTTGCTCGACGGAACTGATTCAACAATGTAGAAACTGAAAGACCGAAAGGGATGAGAATACCCCATCGAGTTGGACAAGGATGACACCAAATGGGTAACATGGAGCTAGGTACCAGTAGCACCGCAATGGGAAATACATGCATACCAGTGAAGCGAACACATCCCGCATACAAAATGAGTAGCATATGAATAACCATTAAGTACCATTATTCTTACCCTTTAGGTAGCTCCAGTTAGTGTTTTCTGGAATTAAATCGAACAAGTTGACTGAAATAAAACATACAATAAACAAAAAAAAACATATCCCTGATTGTAAAATATGGTATGAACTAGTGAACATGTCTAACTAGGCTCCATAGTTCTATATGACAGCAAAGAAACATGCAATCACATCGTGTCCGAGAAAAGTCCAAATCTACATTATGACATGGGTACCGAGCATAACTGCAGAAGTCAGTAGGTTAGAGGATTCAGATCACCTCTGGGGTTCAGTGCCTAGAACAAGGTATAGGCATGAAGGTCAACAGCAAGGACTTTTATCTCATGCTGAAGTTCACAAACTTCTCCGCACTGAGACCCATTAATTTGGCGTTTATCTGTTTGACAGCGCTGTCCTTGAAGGAAGCTTTTGTTGAGTTCTACTGAGACTCTACGATCACGGTGTATGGCCACTGGGGAGACCTGGAGTTCACTTTTAAGACGTAGGCTATTGCTACTGTCCTGTGCGCATATGTCAGCAGAGATAATCCCCCAATCAGCTTCTATGTATCTGCGTGATTCACTTCTGATTCATCGAACCAAAAGTGCTCCCAGTGAATCGGGAAGGGGTCTGCCACGACACTGCCGTTCAACCCTGTCTCCGGATATGGCTTTTGTCTGTGGGACATATGCTTGCTGTGAACGACATGAAGAGCTCAAAAGTTGGTCAGCAATCCACAGCCTAAATGTCGAGGATTGAGAAGCAAATGTTGCGCACTACACACTCAGCTACTTCCGGCAATTCGAGACCGTGCTCGCTGCTAGATTAAATTCCGGCGCCATGGCCAAACACACGTCAAACAAGACACCAGTTTTACGTTTCTGTTTTTGCTGCCCTTTCTAGAACTGTAAGAGTTAGCCACGCACATTGCCATCTGTCTGCACCCTCTAGCTTCGAATCTCAACACCACTATAATAACAAGTCAACTGCTAATTTCTTGACTAGGTGCTGAACTTAGATCTCTAGAATCAGCATATACAAGATCATTCTCAATAAGAACACCAAGCATCGAGAATATTGGCACGCTTGGACCAGAGAATCGTCATCTAAAAAAGGCATCTTCAATTCTCAGAAAGCTACAATTTCAGTTCTGGCCAACGATGAGGCTGATTCACATGATATTCACTTCTTGCTCTACGAGACCAACGAAATGAAAATTATAGGGGTACTGAATGAGACTCACGATCTACTCCAATCTGCTTCCAGAAATTCTGCACAATTTCCAATCTGGTGTTTTCTGTTTCCTCACTCTTTATAGCTTATTGTACAGAGATCAGAGGTGACCTCTGAGAGGTCAGTTGAAATGGGAAGATTCAGTGTAAAAGGGAAGTAAAGAGTTTAGAAGATCTCTTACGGGAAGACTATTCGAATTTCATCAATGGAAACAAAATTCTGAAATTCCAGAGATAAGGATCAGCCGTTGGAGTACGAGCATGGAGTAAGAGAAAAGGGAACAAAAAGGTCGACAGGTCCGAAACGAAATCACACGTGGCGTGTGATGTATCTGCCACGGGTGACATCATCCGACCTGTTTTCACTGGTACCAAGACAGGTGGCACTATCTGGGGGCCCGGAAACAGTAAGTCACGGTAATAATCCGGCTAATTGCCGGACATTTGCACAATCGGCAGCACTCAAGTGAGCCCGGACGGACGGATAGACGGACGGATGGGCAGACGGACGAACTGTAGGCCGCACTGTTGCCTGCGGCGGCGCTGCCGGCCGGCCGCCGATAATAAGATATAGACAGAACTGCAGACGAAGCAATCCACAACAGGACGAGCGAGCGATGAGGCTGCGTGACTGCAGTTTGATTCGATGGCATCCGCAATGCGCTCGGATGCGAGACGTCGGGTTGCAAATGTGTGTGCCCATCGTAGCGGTAGCGCGACTGGACTCTCGTGGACTCGTTGCTTGCAGGAAGATAGATCATGGAGCTGGAGGTGGCCGAATCAGACAGAATTGCGTCTCGCTCCGACTCCAGGACTGCAGTTCGTGCTGATTGCTCATCGAGCTCGATCGATTCGACGGCTAGCTTGAGACTGAGACTGCAGTTCGACGTGATGGGCTGTGGATACGACGAGCTGGGGATTCGGATTGGCTCGGGACGTGTCCGGCTGGGTTGAAGTGGAGGCTTCGAGGCCTGTAGAATGGCTGCCGTGAAGTAGCTGCGTCTGATGGATGACAGGGGAGTGTCTCAGATGAAGATGGCGAGGAATTGGATTCCCGACGCTTTTAGTGCTGTCCGCTGCTTCACATTATGGTACATTACTGCCAATTTGGTATAGTTCGGGTGTTGGATGCTGCTGAATGTAGGTCAGATGTGGTGAAATTCTTGCTGGCTGCTCCGATGTTGTCTGAAGAGGAAGTTCCTGCAATTTTCGCCCCTTCCCATTCCAATTCGATTTCATCTTCAGTAGCTACTCTGGCTGACGCTATACGAAGCTCTCGCCGTGCACTTCTGATCGATGTGGACGAGTCGGTTCACGTGCAGAGTGTGTTATGTAATTTCCAGGTCATAAAAGAGAAGAAATTTTTCTCAACATTCCAAGGATCATGCACATATGTTCTTCTCCGAGACCTGCATTTCCTCCGAGTTGGGTTCGTTCGCTGTGAGCTACAAAAGTTCTGGTCTAACACTACATTCGCTTTCCTCGACTGACACTGCTTAGCAATTCCAGAATTTAAGACCTTTTCTGGTTGCATCTTGATTTCTAAGCCTTCATACCAACATTTGTTTTGAGAGAACTGCCCGATGGACTTCTCACAAGTGCTTCCGACCGAAATGTTCTTGAGTTTCCGTGTTCAGTCTCTGGCAGGCACATAATGAATTTACAATTTTCAGAGGAAATTCTCGGCAAAGAGGCCATTGTTTTGCTACTGTAGAGGGTTGGTGCCATAATTTGGGATTCTGAGGAAAATTTCTTCCATTGCTCTGCCCGTTGCAAATACTTGCGGTGCTTGTGGGTTATGTCAAGGTATAATCGGTGGATACCGTGTTATGTAAATCTATCGGACATGTGTATTGCGGAGGTATGTCTACATCATTGTATCAGCAGGCTCACGAGTTTCCGCGATACCCGACGACTGGACTGAGACTCTTGCCACTCGAGGTTTCATGCACTAAGAATTCTCAGCGTCGAAAACTCTAGGCCTTCATCCATTCCCTGGTGTCACCGAAGGACGGATTTAGAACTAGAATGCTGTGTCTAATTTCCACTGGAGTCTGAGAAACACCATCGAGTACTTTGGACTAGGCTACATTGAATCCTAAACGGAATCGTAAGCAGTTGACGAGTTGTTTCTACCGAAATTTAAAATCCAGCGCCACAGGTAAAGACTAGAATTTCAATGTAAGCTGTCGGCTTTCGTCCAGATGATGTGTTGTTGGAACCGCTTGATACACCTGATAAACCCTCTACGCTTCACGTTTGACAATCCCTCCAATACCTACATTACAAAGCTGATTGCAGAATAATGACTTGACATGCAACATGGGCAGTCTTTGTCCTTGGACTTACTTACATTAAAAAATTATTGGGTTGAAAATAAAAGCTAATCTCAATCTTTGTGCAGGTCTTCGGCTCAACTCGATTCTGTGTACATCCTGAATGAAATGGCGCCGATCAGTAGCAGGAGCTGGTACAAATGGGGACCAAGAGTGATCATGGTAACAGCAGCACTTGCTGTGTTGATAATTCTCTTGAAGAAGGTCATGGACGTGCTCGTAATCTTGTGGTGGAGGCCCCTTGTGATAAGAAAGATAATGGAGAAACAGGGAATCAAGGGACCTGCATATCACTTTTTGTTTGGAAACATGAGGGAGATCAAAGAAATCAATCTTGCTGCAAAAAAATTGGAAACTTTGGATATGTTGGAGAATCACGCAGGTACCTTGAAGCGTGTTGTTCCATTCTTTAGCCTCTGGATGAAGCTATACGGTAAGTGCAAATTTCCTTCAGACTGGCCCAAGTCAAGCAGATTTCAAGACCTTTTTCCAACAAATGAGATAACCAACTTCTATCTGCTTACAACAAACTTGTGGTCAGCCAAAGCATCAGATAAGAAACTCATTGTCAGTGCTCGGTGGTGGAGACAGTTTTCAAGGTTCATGATCGGAAGTGAATGCTCTGACTAAACAAGGCTCGCCTGACGGAATGGCTACGGAGCCTTCTGCTCTGGGTTTGATGTTGCTGTCGCGGAGAGAATCACATCACCGTAGCACTTGACTAAATTTAACGCTGCTGAGCTTGACCTAGCTGAAGTCATTTTCCAAGCTAAATTGTTGATGTCTGATGCATTTGACAAGCAGGAAAAACTTTTATGTACTGGTTTGGTCCGGAGCCAAATTTGTATATCATGGATCCGGAACTGGTGAAGGAGGTGATGTCGACGAATTTTCAGCACTACGAGAAGCCGACATATGTGGTGCAGATTATGAACGCACTTTTGGGACGTGGACTTGTAACAGCTATCAAGGAGGACTGGGCCAACCAGCGCCGCATCGTCAGACCTGCCTTCCACTTTGAGAAATTGAAGGTAATTAATTCATCGTGAGGCCTCGTGTAAAGGTTTCATGAGGTGAAGACCACGTGGTCTTTTTTAATAGAGCTCCAGAGCGTGAGGATTTTGCTGCAAGTGTTCGAACCCGTATCGTTTTGGAGCTTGAAATTCTTGCCCTCTGTAGTTGAATAGAGGAACCGGAACTCGCTCGATGAATACAGCAGAAACTGACAATGATGGTGCAGAAGCTGCGAACCAGAGCTTCATATACATTCCCTTGCTTATGAAAGCTTTGACTGAACTAAACTTTTATTGTTCGCCTCGTGTCGATGTGTAGTTGTTTTCCAGGTGGTTTTATTTAAAGACAGAGGAAATCCTGATGAATGATTTGTTACAGGATATGATGGGAGACATGGCAGCAAGTGCTCAGGAGCTTATAAACAATCTGGAGACCATCATAAAAGACGAGGGTAGCTACGCTGAAATAGAAATCAAGCAGCACATCAAGAATGTCACCGCCGATATTATAGCACGCACAGCCTTTGGTAGCAGCTATGAACAGGGGAAGAAGGTCTTCCAAGTGCAGATCAAACTGAACAAAATGTTCGAAAAAGTTCTTCACCTGTTGTGGATACCAGGATTTTTGTACGCATCTTTCGCCTTTTGTACCAGGAACCAATATATCTAGATTTTTCATCAGAACAGTAAGGTCCTAGAAGCTTACTACTCTGAGTTTCTGAGTTTGGATTGTTATGTAGAAGTATTATTGAGTTAGCAATACGTTGTACACTTTGAGGAATCAGTAACATTCTTTTTCTGCAGAAAAAAGTTGACGGATTATCCTAAATTTGTCGCTGTCGACGTGTCTATGGATTATTGTAATAACCCAAGTCTGCTGATAGGAGTAAGTAAAAGTCATGTCGTTTATTTATCCGTTTCATGTACATTAAGTATCCGTCACTACGATGTTCCGATGCTTATATTTCTCTGATTGACGCAGCTACATCCCTACAGCCGATAACAGAAAGCTCTGGAAGCTTCACAAGGAACTGGAGAAGAGTCTCCAGAAAATCGTCCAAGCTCGGTTGGATATTGTGCAACAGGAGAAGGGCATGTCGTATGGAAATGATCTGTTGGGCCTCATTGTTGCATCGAGCGAGGACAGCAATTCGCCCAACAAAGCTCATGTTCGATTAACTACCAAGCAGCTGATCGATGAATGTAAGACATTCTTCTTCGCCGGTCAGGAGACTACGGAATGCTTACTTACCTGGACACTGATGTTACTCGCCTTGCACCCGGAGTGGCAAGACCGCGCCCGAGAGGAAGTTGAGGAAGTATGCCAGGGAATGCCACTCGACGCAAGCCACCTGAGCAGGTTGAAAATTGTAAGTGGGCAAATAAATTGTTGCACGAAGTGATACACACACAAAGGCAGTAATGCAAAGAGCAGATGATGAGTGCTCCTCGTTCTTCTTCATAGTCAGGAGAACAGAGGAGGTAAGCTGGAATGTACATATCCAATAGCAGTCGGATATTTATAATGCTGAGCCATATGTTTCGCCTAAATAACACGACAAATCCTTTCGGTCTGTCCCAACGCTGACATGGTCGCATTTCTGTTGTGAATGTCAGATGGGGATGGTACTGCATGAAACTGCGAGACTCTATCCCCCCGTGATCTCTGTGACGAGGGTAGCATGCAAGGACATGCAATTGAGGAACATATTCGTTCCCAAAGGTCTGTCGATAGAGATACCGATCATATCAATCCACATGGATCCAGATCTTTGGGGCGAGGACGCATCTGAATTCAAGCCAGAGAGATTTGCACATGGCGTCGCCAGCGCCTGCAAGCATCCTTTGGGATACATGCCATTTTCCATGGGTCCTCGAAAGTGCCTAGGACAGACTTATGCTCTGATGGAAGCTAAAGTCGTCCTCGTGGCTATCTTGCAACGCTTCACTTTCTGTCTCTCGTCTAACTATGAGCACTGTCCTGAGAGTGGGCTTTTATTGTACCCTCGTCGTGGTGTCCAGCTGCTGATGGACACGTTGTAGCACTTTCTTCGAGACATGTAGGAATTGTATATTTATGTGAAGAAGAAGACCTGGTGGACGGCTACCACCTCAAGTTTTGGTCTTCGACTGAGCCTTCACTTCGGGAGATTTGGCCCTCGAGTAGATGGGCAGGGCAACCTGGAACCTCTTCAGTTCTCCATTTCTCCATTTCAGAAGGCGGTCGTGTACAAAGGCTAAAGATTTTGATCATTGTGCTCACTAGTGTACAGACGTAGCATTTTAACGATGGTGGCGAAGAGCGATGCATTTTTCAAGGAAGTAGAATTACTCTTACAGAAATGGAGATGTTTCAGAGTAGGCTTGGATTTATTGTCACCTCCTGTGACGCAGTTCTGTAGATATGTATCGTTAGACCAGTGATATGAGAAGCCGGAGTCCGGCTCCTAGAGCTGATGATTCAACTTTTTCTTGACTCCGGGAGAGCAATTAAACAGCAGTCGGCATATTGAATTTCTTTGTGTCAAAATCTTGTGAACTGTCGGAAACTTCGATAACCGGAAACACGATAAGCCAGCTGAGTATCTTTCGTGTTGCGGCTTTATTTGCGGCACGTACATCAGTGTAGTCTGAAAGTTTTGCGTCATAAGCTTCCGTGTTTATCGCCGTTTGTGGAACCCAGGTTTGTAGAGTGCTGTCGAGTTTTACGATAAATTAGCCCATCGTCTTCACTACCATCCGTCCAATCTATATATCAGGTGTTGCTCGTAGTTCTCCTCCGGGTTAAGGTTACCACTAATTAAGGTTACCATACTCCAAAACCATCGCTGTGGAATGACCATGAATGTAGAATCGGTACGTTTCACCATTATCATGATTGAGTCTCCTTGATCCCTTAATTTCGTAGAATCCCATTTAAATAAACCGGAAAACTTCACACGAACCCTTGAGTATTATGTAGTGTACAGGTGGCTTTGTGTAAACACATCGATGAGATTTTTTCATTTTCACCGCTAATGTGTGGAAGTTCGAAGGATCCACATACTAGATTGGGATAGCAGCAAATAGTTCTGCATTATGTCATAAGAGTTTTCGGGTTAGTGACTGCGTATGATGTGGATATTTCATATAGATTGTACGTTGATGTGTATAATAGTTGACTAGGGTTATGGTATACACAATTATCTCGATCTTTCGTTTAATCACAACTTTCTGAGAGATGATAACTCATCTTATGAATGGACGACGAGCTATAATATATATTATGAAGTTATGCAAAGAGGTAAATTCTTTATCATATGAACACGAAAATCATATGTAGTAATGTAAACGTATTTTGGCATGTTATTGACAAATTTCGCGAGACACTACAGTACAAGAATATTACTTTGTTTGTCCTATTATAATAATTCAATAAAGCACTAGAGTTGAACGTAAGAAAGCAATAGAATCGCTGATGGAGTTTTGGATGGTCAAGTCGTTTGTCAACTAGATACTTTATTTGGTAATTTTGCATGCTATCAATTGGTTATTGATTTCGTTCTTCCCTCTCTAATCAATCTACTACTTCCTTGTTGTAACTCGTCAATTTTATTTTGTATAAACTGGAGTTCTTGCATGACAATCTATGGAAAAATTATTTGAACAACCAATAACATTGTCAATTATCATTTATGATTGATACAAAATCTTAATTTATGCATATATTTTTTTATGTACAAATCTTAATGGATATATGCAAGAGCATATCATAAGAATATATATCTTTTAAGATTATGATAGATAAAAATATGTACATATGCCATGCAACGTTATAAATTTTTTTGTGACATAATAGACATGTTCAAATAATCAGGACTATACATGTCACTTATCAAGTTTTATTTTTTCAATTAAGAAGGAATTTGTATTATTTCAAAAAAAATCGTTTAAAACTGTACATTGAACAAATATATAGTCACATCTAACCAATGATTTTAAATCGTGGAACAATATGAGTCTATTTTAACATAGACATTAGAGTTGTTTATATTATGAAATACATATATCATTCTAATGAAAGAAAAAAAATTTCGTTTTAGCCATGATGAGTTAAATCATATGAAATTAAGCTAGTTAAATTAGCTAGAAGCTAGTTTACGGGCTAAATTTAATGGATGATCAATAAGTAGACTTAAACTATGAAGACTTACGTAGTTTGAATTGTAAGGAGAAAAACTGGGCTTTGTCCATGAAAGTGGCCTACTATTTTTGAGCCGCATATCTCATTTCTTTTGTGAAAGATGTATTTTTTAATGACATTGCAGAAACCAACTTAAACTTCACATTCCTTGCACTCACTTCATGTTCATTTAACCTGATTTGAGGTACCAATCTTAAATCTGTGGTGTTTCTCAAGCTCGAAAGTGTTTTATGGTGAGGGAGAATAAATACAATTTAGTTATTGTTTGTAGCTAAAGGTGGTGTTCCCATCAACATAAATTGATATTGATTAGCACATAAATGTTATTCTACATGCAGATCTTTTAAAATGAGACAAGTGCCCAAAGTTTTGAAGAAAAAATAGTGATGTATTTTGAACCTACCAGTTCGTAAACACCTGAAATCCATATTTGAATCGAGTGCCTGGCCAAGGGCATGCAAGAATGAATGTCCCCATTCGCCAAGTTAAAAGAGCCACTAGGAATATTCCTCCTCTTTCTTGACCGTTCGCGGCAGTCACATTGCGATATGAATATTTCCGCTGGCTTTCCCGAATTCCGGTGGAAATAAAAGCGTCATGAAAGTTCGTCAGGTCCGGAAGATCCGTGCCGGATTTCTGCCTGCGGCGTTAAGACTTTCCGGCCGGAGTCACAGCTACGCAGGCAAAGCGACGGTCGCAGATCGAGCCCACCCACCCCGACATCCTTGGTAACGGTAGACCGGACCAGTCCTGTGGAATCTATCCGAACTCGGGGCCTCGATTGCGCCCAATCGCGGCTGCGCAGCAGAACCGACAGACAGCGAGAGTAAGCGTCGGCCCAGCGACCGGCGGCCATGCTTCGGAATTCCGTCGCTGTCCTTCTCTCGTCCTCGCTGATGCTGCCTCGACGCACCACCCAATTTATGTGATCGACTGCGGAATCTGATGTAGCAGAGGCGCCGAGCACATTGCTCTGGATCGAAGAATGTGGATTCGCTGACGGTTCCGTCGAAGTGTTACTCGGGGCTGCAGGAGTGGCCTGAGCTCAGCCCTGCTCAGCTCGTGCCAGCTCGCTCTTGGCTTCAAGCCATGGCTGCGTCGAATGTAGTAATTCAGCCCGGAGCATCGGCCCTGACAGTCAGTATCTCAGCCTTCCCCGTGCCTCTGTCAGATATTCAAGCGCATTGTATGCCTGCGAGAGGAGCTCGAACCGAGAGACAGGTCTAGGACTATGAGAATTGATGTTCTATCGATGAGCGGTAGCTGTAGCCTTTCTTGTTCGACAAATTCGTGCATTGATTCGAGGCTAGTGGACGACCCGTTCCAGTCCGATGAGTGTGCTCAGAATCCGATTGTGAAAGATGCTGTTGCAGAAAGGAAGAGTTTGTTGAAATTGTGTAACTCGTCTCCTTCGTTCCTTGCAGCGGCATCGCGACGTCCCGGTCTTGCGCAAGCTGGAGACCGCGAGTGTGCAGATTCAATGTCGAAGATTCGAGAGGCTTTCTGCAACAAACTCGCGTCCATTTTCTGGCGCCCGAGTGCTGATTGGCACGAGGAGGAGGAGCTCACGGGACAGGGCAGCACAGTCGAAAAATCCTGCGAATTCGATCGCCGTATCAGCCTCATCCTCTTCTTCTGTAGAATTTCCAAATGATTACGACGAATTAATGGAGCAGGTTCGTCTTCTCGAAGCACCCCTGCCTGTTTCTGTTCTCAGCAAATCCGCTGTTCGCAAATTGTTGGATCCGACATCGTAGAGCCGCGAAATCTTCCGAACTGGAGGTTTGCATTATCACAGTGCTCGAACGACAAGCAGTCCTCTGTACTGTGGATGAGATTTGATCACACCTCCGTCTTCCATTGATGATTTGCAGGTGAAGACAGCCACAAAATCTGCTCTGAAGGACTCGAAATTGCTGATGGTAAGAAGCACTCTCTCGCAACTATATGTTCTCGCTTTGGTGGGGGGGAATCTTCACGTGAGCAATTCATTCACTCGGCTGTTGCAGCCCGTCAAATCAAAGCATGGCAGTACAAAGCATGATTTGTTTTCTTCTTGTAAGCAGGAGATTGAGTTTCCGACAGGCGGGCTTGATAGTGTTCCAGGTAATTGTATCTCTTTCTCCCAAGTGTGGACAGGTTCGTGCATGCCTACATGAAGATTTTGCAAGAGCCAGAGAGCTGTAAAAGTCGGAACCTTTATATACGAGAATGTGTGTGTACTCCGTGCAGGTGATGTGGAAGGAGGAATTGAGATGAGCACAAGTATGTTGCTAGTTCGTGAGTTCTGTCGAGTCTTCAGTGATGGAGATAGAGCCGGTCGCACTCGAATCGTGAGTGCCACTCTTCCACCACCGAATTTGTCTCTCGATGAACTACAAGTTTGTCTCTTTGGTAGCAGGTGACATCTCTCCAGTCAACCAGAAGCATAGTACTGTACTTGCTCCGAAGAATGGATGTTTGACTTTCTTCTTGAACTCCCACCGAGAAGTGAGAATCTGTGCCCCTCAGATCGTTCGTCTTCCCCCCAAGACTCAGACCTGAGATTTTGGTGTCTCTTGAATGGAGTTGCCAATTTCTCCTCTGATGAGCCCTGCCCCTAACCTGACCTACTTACTGACCTCGACCTTGTCGTGTCTTCGACCGGACGCAGTTCTTTCCTGACGTGAATGAGGTCGAATCCGCAAGGGAAAATATCTTCGCTGGCACCTCTTTCAAGCTGGACTACCTGACTAAACCGTCAGGGCTGAATGACATCGGCCTGGGAAAGAAAGAGAAGATGGCTGATCACGTGCAGGCAGCTGATGAAGTCTTCGTTTGTGCCTACCCTTACTTTAACGTTAATGGTACTCTATCGATCGACGTCCGTGCTTGCGTTTGACCTGAATCTTGTGCACGATGATCTTATCATCAGTCTAGACGATTCGCCCTCGTCTGCTCTGTTGAGGATCAGAGGATTCTTCATTACGTCTGGTAATGAGTGAGGCTGTTGTTGACGAATTCGCAGTGACTGAGTTGCAGAGATGATAGCTGTGGAGGAGCTGTACAGAGAATCTGCTCAAGCGACGCGACGCCCACTCATTGTCTTCAACGGCGAGCTGGACAGAATAAGAAGTGGTTGTATCCTTTACAAAGATCCTTCCACTTTGGTCTCATCAAAGTGTACAGTCTGAAGGACAATTCTTCCTCGCTTCATTTTGTTTCTTCACTCTAATCTCTAGCCATAGCTCGATCCCGACGTGCTTCTTTGCTCTTGTGATTTGGAAGACTGTATAGCTCTGCTGGTCTGTGGCCTCTCAGGGTGCCATACTTATAATCCTTTCTCAGACTATCCGTCGTTCTTCTATCCGAAACTGGGATCTCTTGCGAAGAACTTTCTTCCCAAGTTCGAAACTGTATATTACATTCACAACTTCAAGGGCCAGTCTGGGGGAGTGCTTTTCAGGTAAATACATTCGTCACGGGTGACCTCAGCAGTAGATAGGATATCACGGGAGTGGATCAGTGGATATATGACGAACCTTTCCATAAACTCACTGAACAGTCAAAGCTCTGTCGTCCGTCCTCGGACAGGTCTTACCCAAGTCCTTCCGATCGGGCTTACTGTATGTCGCCTTTCTAGTGTAGGGTTGGAATATGTGCCTGACGTTTCTGAACGATCCCTCGCCAAGCCTCAAGCGACGTGTCAGGAGCGTGTTACAGCTGTTGTTGCTGTTGTTGAGTTGGGCTGAGGGATTGGTTCTCGACAGATGCACACTTTACGATTATGGCTTGGCGTCTTGCTCTGTGGCAGGGCGTATCCGGGGCCTTGGCAAGTTCTGAGGAGGGTGGATTTCAAGTATATTTGTTTACATGAGCAGCCAACCATGCCGACTCTGAAAGAAGTCGCCCTCAATATCTTACCGGCATACCGTTGATCGATGCTCTCCGGAGAATATAGGCAAGCATCATGAGAACCATCCATATCGTGTAATGCAGGCCATTGAAAGCGCATGGTGCTGTAAAGTAGTCAACTCCCGATCTTTCTACTTTTTCGCGAACTTTCTAAATTTCCAAGGCTGTCATCTACTCACCGGTTTGGAAGAATCATGATACTATGAATTTAAATTTCTTCAAGCAAACTAGTTTGCGTAAGAGGCAGCTTTGACTGTATAGTTGAACCAGTTTTAGCCGGTTTGTGAGGATTTTGTAGAGTTGAAGTTTACTTTCACAACTTTCCCTGAATTGGAGCTAGAATATAAATGGTGTTGTACCATGTGTGCACACCAGGCAGTTGGGTCTGATATTCACAGGGGTTTCCAAGACAAAAATTGTATCAGTTTTGAAGAAGAAAGAAAATTCTAAGTTTGTTTACTAATTGTCAAACTGCTAAGTACAAAGTTTACATTGAACATTACTTATACTGCCGATCTACAATGTGTAACATGTAAATTCTGGATTCCAAATCTACCCTTAGTAGCATTTGCCTATCTGAGAGTCCGCTCACGCGTGTTGAAGTCAGTGGACGGAGCCGTCAATTGACGAAGCTGCTGCATAGCCTTTGTCGGTTCTTTTCGAGAGTTAAACGTTTTCATGATACAGTGATTTGACGTAGAGATTCTTTCTTTGCAGGTGACTGCTGCCTCGCGGCCTCAGCTTATTTGTCTCCTCATCGAAACAATGTATTTAGTAACAGGAGCTGAGAGTTTTCAGCGTTTACTGGTAGAACTTGTAAGTTGAGGCGCTAACGATGATGTTCCTAAGTCCTCCGATCGACGAGACAAGCATGAGTAGTACACCTATAACAATGCAAACCTGCGAAACCAAACATAGTCACAATGAGAAAAATTCATAAATGTGGTCATCAACTCCTCCACCTACTTTACTCCAAGCTTGCACGGTCGAATCAATCCTGCCTGGTGCTCTCGAAGTGGAAGGCTCGTGTGAGATGAGTGACACGCAATTGATATAGGCACTCAAAGCGTCCGAAGTTTTCACTCCAGCTTCCAGCATTGCGGAAAAATGAGACGGATCTGAGATGTTTCACTTACCCAATTAGCACACCACGAAAGGCTGAAGCGTTTCGGTTTGTAGATGACCAGCCACATGATGCACGGTAACTGCACAAGCGGCTCGATCTTCAGTACCATGTAAGAGTCTTCATGGAAGAATCATAGAGTCCAAGGTGCAGATAACTCTCACACGAAATGCCATGAACATAAGAGAAAGGGCCTTACGAAGTATGTTGTAGGAGCAAAAGCGAAGCCTCCCAGAAATCCGAGAAGAGCTCCAAAGAAAGGCAGAGTGCACGCCACGAAGGCCGTGAACGCTGAGATCACAGAGAAAACCCATTCAGTACCGGGCATAAAGAAGCCACACTTGAAAGGGTCGAAGAAAACTTGTTGCACCATGTCAGCAATCACAAGAGGTGATCCAGGATGGTCAGTCTACTCACCAACATAAAGACAGCGAACTACAACTCGCAGAGGTGCCGAAGGAGGGATGTGCATTTTCTTGACCAAAACCGTTTCAATCATGTCGAACACGGGCATCGCGTACAGCTGCCATCGTTGTCGTGATCAACAAGCGCAATGAATGCGAGATATGTCAGAATGCGGGACAAAGTACTGTCAATGATATCTGTCACTCTCAACGAAACGTGATGTTCCCCAACCACTCGACGAATAAAAAAACTGGTCATAATGGTGCGCATCGTCCGTCCTTGTGCAGGTGCGAGCAAGCCCATCCCCATAAGGACCTACCTGGTAACTGCCAGTGACGTGAATGACCACCATGAAGTTGGCCATGGCAATCAGCCACCTCGGTTTGCCGAGCTGCAGGAGGACGTTGTCCTTGACAGTGTTGCCGAACGCCCAGTAGCCGACGATGGCAACTGGGAAGTAGCAGGCGGCCACCACGATGTAGGCCAGAACCACTCCTCGCCACATGGCGATCTTCGAAGGCCTCTCCGGCGTGGAGGGGATGGTGGCCTGGATCTCCAGCACCACATTGTGGCCTGCGTATGCGAACGCGACGTTGCCCAACGCGTTGAACACTCCGAAAACCAGCGTTGCTGTGGTTTTGTCGGGCAGTCCATAGTCGTGAACAGCTGCCCTGCCTTGCGCGAGTGGTGCAGCCCATGCGATCGTCGAATAGCTGCCATGTCACACACCACTCCTCCCGTCAGTCAGCTCTGTGCACGACCCCGAGCTGAGCTCGAGACGGGGAGAGACAAGAGAGCTCTGTTTCCCAGAGCAGTATGAGTACAATCCTGAGACAAGAGGGAGTAAGGGGGGGAATGTACCTCAAGGACATGACCGCAGCCGCCAGTGACACACCAGCAATTGAGTTGAAATTGGGAAGCTGGGCGAGCAGAAAGTGCTGCGAGGCGAAGATGATGATCCACGCAGATTTGCCGATATGGCCGCAATGCTCATCGGGGTTGGATGCCGAACTCGGGCACTTGATCAGGTTATGGAACTTCTGCAGCGAGTCACCGCCCGTCACCATGTAGACGATGTCGACGCCGACTTCGACGATGAGCTGCTGAGGAACGACGATCCAAAGCCCGAGCCTGGGCCCGAATGCCTGCTGCCCCAACTCGTGGTATCGATCGAACCTCTTGCCCGGAACCATCTCGTGCATTTCCACCATCTGCCATAGCGTGTACAGCGTGATGCACCACGATCCTACGAGAACCACCGTTCCAAAACCCCTGCCACAAGCAATTTCAGCCCGTCACGAGTTTTTTCCCCGGCGGATGAGGCTCACAGTGAGGCTGCAATAATAATCCAGTGCTGATCTGGAGGACGTACCATCCGAAATATGCCATGGCGGAGGGAAGACTGAGCACGCCCGCGCCCACCATAGCCGTGACATTGTGGAAGGTGGAGTACCACCACTTTGCGTTTCGAGATCCTGTCACTGGAAGCCAGTCATCCACGTTCTTGATCGTGCCGGGGTGTCGCGGTCCGTCGACATCATTTTCATCCTGCATCCAACGCCACGATCAGAAATTGCCGGCGGAATCGAATCGAGGTTCGTTCCAGTGCACGAGTTCAACGACTCACACATCGATCGTCAGCAAACCTGTAGTTCGAAAAAGTATCTCAGGTTCGACTTCGTCAACGAGATTGACATCGTCACTTGTCGGTCCCCTCGCAGGAAGAATTGCTCGCGCTGTGTGTGCCCTCCCTCCAGTCTCGAGAAGGAACCTCCGCAATTCGAAGCACTCCGATCGCTACTTGCGAGGGGCACACATCAAACCACGACCCTGCGGGACATTACTGGCGCGATCGGCAGCAGAGGGGCACCCAAACCTTCTCGGACCATCCAGGAAGTGGAGACCGAGGAGCTGGGACGAGAGAGAGGTGCGATTGCAAATGCCGCCTCAGATCTTTGGGTTTCCAATCCCACCGCAGGTCGCGCACAACTCTTCCAACTCAGCTGTGATGCGTCCGGGACTAAAATAAGCGAATTACAGGAAGATTTGACCGTGTCAACGAGAGGCCACCCGAATCGTGCGACCGCCACCTTTCGGGGACGGTTCTTCGTCGCGTACAGCTTCTCACTGTTGCAAATTTCGGGAAGAAAATCCAGACGACGGAATGCGTCCGGAGCATGTATATCACTGTACTGATTTCGCCACACGACGGGGGCAGAAATTGTCTGCATGGGCGAAAACGATGGAAAATTTTCCGCAGAAGACGGGACATTCCACTTGTCGGCAAATTTTTGACAATTCGTACGACCGTCCACGAGGTTGTCATGCCAGTCCAGAGCCGCTGGAGCTACCGAATGACGGACTGGCGGGTGTGAATTTCACGTCGAGCGACAGCTGACATCTTCTTGCACTGCGCTCATTCTCGCTCTCTAACGACCTTTGAATTTTACAGCCTACACTATTGATCGAGCAGCTGCGCGAGCGGAGCTGGACTACCGCCGGAACGAGGACTGACGTTCGCCGGCGGCGATGAAGAGACGCATTCTCGAGAAAATGCTCCTCTTGGAAAATCGAGAGAATGGACTGTAAAATCGCATGGAGCTTGGAAGAGAGAGAAAGTGAGAACTCGAGCAATCCCGGGTCCAGCACGAGCTCCAAGGAAAGAAGAACGCATTCACGGCCGCTTCAAATCTTCCAGGGGCCGTTAAATTCACGTGCAAGTCGACCACAGCTCGGCGGGACGAGCACAGCACAGCGGAGCAGAGCAGAGCGCAGCAAAAGGAGGAGAAGAACGAACGAACGAAGCAAATCAACGAACACAGCACACGCGCACGAAGAAAACCACGTACTTTGTTCGGAGCGTGGCTCCCCGGCGGCCTGGCCAGCTCGGTCTCCGCGGCGGAATCCTCACGAGGCGCCATTGCCAAACCTCCAAGCTCCGCGCTCTGTAATCAACTTCCACGGTAGGTCAAATCTGAATCAATCGATTGATCGCTCGCACGCACGCACGGAATTCCCTCTATGCACACGCCCTCTTTGCGCCTGCTGCAGCTCCCAACTCCCGCACAGACTCGGCCTCCCGGTCTGGGACCGCGCTCCTACATACTATTACTACTAACTTCACACGACGATTCTCGACCACCTGCGGCGACCGCGTAGCAGGGAGTCAGTCGACTGGGGCCCCTTTGCCGTCGTCCCTTCCCGCTTTCCGAGCCTAAAGCTTTCGAAGTGGAAGAAGGTTCCGCTCTCGAGTGCGCAGTGCTCGCGCAAGCGCCAGCAACGCTCCCCTCCCGCTTTCTCTGTCGTCCGTTCTCGTCCCGCCTGGAATTGCAACGGCAGCCCGCGCCACCCCCCACCCTCCAGTCCACTGGTAGACGACGGACAGACACACACACACACACAGAACCTGCAAGCGTTCGCTCTCTTATTAAGCTGCTTTCGCGACTCCCGCCGGCCTTCGCATTCGCCTTTCGCCTTTCGCCTCCGCGCTGGCGGGATTCGGAGCACGCCGCGTTCCTTCCGTTCGTGCTCATGCGTTCTCGCTCTGCCCAGGTACACATAACGCCCTCACTGGACTCGACCCGCCTCACCCCATACGGTACAGTACTGCATACGACCCTGCGTACGTACACCTACATCACACGAACCAGAATTAATTTTTATATTTATTATTCGGCCTCTAACCGCACACATCACTGTCCGTGGTGACCCATCCAGCTCGACCGGACCGGTCAGCGGCCGGCCGGGGCCAAATCTCCTCCGTGTCCGACTTCGGCCGGTCGCTAGGATACCGGAAACCCGTCGCGTCTTTTAATAGCTGGTCGTCCTCGGTACTCGGACGGACGACGGTCGCGGTCGTCCCCATCGCGTTTTACCGTGAGGTTGGACGTGGTTGTGTGACACGTGGTCGCTTCTGGGTCGTCGATGGCGGGGCCGACGGGGGTGTGGGATTCGGGGTGGGAGGGCCAGAATCCAGGGCTCGGACAAGAAGCAATGCTGAGCTTGGATTGCGACAACGGAGCTCGTGACAGAACTCGGCGGTAGATACAGGGAGTGAGATACCGCTCGGCCAGGCATCGGGGCCATGGCTGAAGATACCCGTCGACCGACGACCGCAATGATCCGGCCCGATGGATGTGCGGCAGTGGTGAATCTCGGCCGCCCTCTCTGCTCCTCCTGCTCACGAATGGATCGCGGCGTTCCTGTTCTGGCTGCGCTCGACACGCTGGCAGCACCGTCCGATCACTTCTCTTCTCCGATCTCCTTTTTCATCCGTTACCCGTTTGGATGGATCTTCCGATCTTTGCTCTATGCTAGTCTTTATTGTATATATTTTTTGCAATATATACCCATATTTCCATCATTTCTAGATAACATATCTCACAATGTTATTCTTCCCAAGATTTCTTGAGTAAAATAATGACTCCCTTGGGCCCCATTCTAATTGCCATTATATATATTGCCAGCTAGGTATTGGCCTTTGGGTCTTTTCCCTTGTTTGTGGTTGGTACTGTGTTTTTCAGCCTTTGGTTCCCCGGGCTTGATCTATTACCATTACCATATACTTTTCTGCAATATTTGCCCATATTTTCTTCATTTTCAAACAAGATAAATCAAAATAAAATCCTTTGCGATATTCTTTGAAGAAATTTATGATCTTTTTTAGCCCACGCTAAATTTTACAATATAATTTTTTTTGCAATATAGTCTCACATATTCGTCGTTTTCTAAATAAGATATCTCATCATAGTATGCTTTGCAAGATTCCTTGAGGAAATTTATGAATCTCTTGGGCACCACCATCCTCTACAGAACGCAAAAGCTATGAATTTCTGAGATCGGGTAATTCAGCGGGCAGAGGGCCGAAATTTCAGCACTCCGTCCTTACGCAAGTATGAGGTTCACAATGGACATGAACTTAGCATTAAATGGCTTCGGACACAGAAGCATCGAGCCACAAATGAATGAATGTACAGGTCCAAACGGTCCAAGAAGCACAAGGTTCTGCATGCGATTATGACAGTCCAACGGATAATGCGCATTTATTGCTACTTTCTGGCTTCTTCTGAAAAGACATGAAATTTGAACAAGAGTTTTGAGTTTTGAAACTAAGCAGGAAGCACAAATTCGGGAAGAAGCAGTGAATGTGAAGCTTACAGTCACTCCCAAACTACTGTGGTGTATGGTAATCCATTTGTTTGGGTAATAATCCAAGATATCAATGATTGTATCTTGCTGTTAACAGTTATCCCAACGTGATTCACTAGGCAATTTAATTGCCTAGGAGCTAGTTCAAGCTTTCAAATGAGAAGGAAGACATGTTTGTTGTCTTATGCCACTTCGGTAAAAGACATCATCATTGAGAAATATTTTAGCATGGAGTTATTCTATATATAGGATAACTGAAAAACATTGCACATACTGGATATATGTGTATATTGAGCATGATAAATTTACAAACTTGTGTATTTTTCCTTGTCTGTATATCTTTCATTTTAACTACATCAGAAACTACAACCAAAAGTTTGTAATATCTCTTGAACTAATTGTATGAAATTATCAATACGTGAAGGGCCAAAGAAAACATTAACTAAGTTGATTTGACAGCTTCATTTGATAGCACAAGTGAACTTACATGGATTAGGTTTTTTCTTGTTTGCACTAGTTGATTACCAACTTAGCAAATCAAGGACAGTTATATTACGTTTTTGGCTAAGTTTCAAATGTTGTGTGATAATATCATCTCCACATTTCATGTTAAGAATGAAAAGTAGAAAAGTGCTCCATTATTATGTTTGAAGTTTTTTATTGGAATACTTCAATATTTAGCTTCATACGATTGTTTCATGATCTATGAATTTATTAATTTTTCATATATATATATATATATATATCAAGAATTTTTTTCATATTGAGACTTCAAATTTAACTTCATTCATTCATAAAAATAATCAACTCAAATTTCAGATTTGGATAAAGCAGACAGATTTAATTATTAGTATTTAGGCATTAAAATTTGTTATTTTTAAGCTTTAATTTGCAAATATAAACATCATTGATTATACATTTACTAATTAAAATAATTAATTACATAAATTGTGATTTAGAATTTATATTTTAAGTAATGATAATTCTATATATCTAAACATGAAAAATATGCTGCTACAATTGATATATAAATAATATTTATCAGCTAAAAATATATGATTTGAGAAGATGACACATGATATTTAATATATTTGATCAATCCATAATCGTGTATGATAAATTAGTTTTCAGCGCTCTTAGCAAACATACATATGATATTGATAAAAATGTGTTGATGTTACTAAAACTTTCATTCACACTCATACATGACACATGTGATGAAAAAATTATTTAGGATAATCATGTTACTAGAATCAGATATTGAAATTAATGAAGCATTTGAAATATTTCATAAAAAATTGAGTTTTTATAGATTTACATATTCGATCAGTAACCATTGAATGCTTGTCAGTCATACATTATGATCAATAACATTGGAAGTAAAATTAGGAATAAAATTTGAGTAAGAACTTATGGGATCATACATTAAGCTTTAAAATGGTGAAAAAGTGGTTACATCGGAGCAATAATCAGTGCATGTATCAAAAAATCTTGACACCTAGATAGAGTAAATTATCTCAACTTTGAATTTCACATTTGATTGTTATTACAATAATGCTTTGGATAACCATAAAAAATCAATATTTGGTTTTTTGTACATTTAAGTTGATATATGGTGATCCAAGTTTCAAAAAAAATCAGTATGACAAAATGTACGTTACAGTACGATGTGTACATGGATAACAATGCAAAGAGATATGATGAGTGAAGAACGCACTTATAGATTTAGCATCAGACTAACTTGGAGTGATCTATCGGTCACAAAAGCACTTTATGGCGGCCGCTTGTTTAGTGGGAACAGAAAGCACTGTGGTCTCAGATGTAATTTTCTGGCATCTCTTGTTCCCATTGTCCAACGGAAACTCACAACCATGTGCGTGGAATATATTCCGTGGATACTCTGCGCTGAACTTTTTAAGAACCACGATGGCTCTTCAAAAATGTTGTGGACATTCTGGAACTAACGCCTCGAGTGAACTCTGGCACGAGAACAAGGAAGGGAACAATTCGAAGTCGTTCCGAAGTCAAGCTCGGGAGTTTCCATTTCGTACCGGGTATAATTTCATGCAGACGGATTTCGTGTTAGGAGTAGCCTTCAGATTTTGAATTCGGATCGATCGATGCCATAAGTATACCCAGTATCTAAAGATATGTTTACTTCACTGATCTTGCTGGTAAAGCCCGAAGAGTCAGATGCTTGTTTGTCAAGCTCAAATTAATGCCACTCCAGTATTGCAGCTCACGTTCTAAGCACTAAATATCGACCTAACACTAATCCTATTTCGTCCAAATCTTTGAAACTGCGTACAGTAGAGCCTTGATTTAACAGGAGTGAATGTACTCCTCTGCCTTCATGAATGTGTTCGTGAATAAATTGCGAAGTAGGACTGGCATCCAGGGGACTTGCGACGTTCTTTTGCCAAGTAGGCTAAGTTAAAAAGCCAGATGGTAAAGGAGGCTAACTTAAAAAGCTATATGGAAGAGGCTAGACAAGAAGGAGGACAAAGAAGTATCTTGTATCTCTCATGAAAAATATAAAATAATAATAAGTTCAAATATAAATTCCATTGATACGTTACGAAAGGCTCGCAGCTCATTAGTTGGTCGAGCCTAGTGGTAATGCTTTAAGTATTAATGATATGGATGTAGGAGCACTAAATTATTTGTTTAATTTTGATCCTAATATATTTCTAAAACCTGAAATGTTGGAAGTATTAATATATAAACAGAAATTAAAAAGCTAAATGAGTATTAACGACGGATCTTATACTGTTTAATGTGTATAAAGAGCGGTGCCATCCCAGACAATGAGGAAAACAGCCGACGATGCGTAATGCCACCGAATCTGGGTCCATATTTGAGACCTCGATCCTTTAAGCCCTCACAGCAGCGACTTAGATTCCCCAGATAGCCCAAATTAGGAAAAACCGGCGATCGCGGCCACCGGCCGGGACGAGGCCAACAATTCCCAGCGTCTTGGAAAGGCGGCTGCCAGGCAGAGAATCCGACGAACGTAGAACACGCGTCCGGAGGGGGGCCGGGAGCGAAAGCGAAATCGCGGACAGAAAACATGAAAGGCGTCAGATATTTCAACGGGCGCTTACCTGGAGGTCACTTGGGCCGCGTCGTCGTAGCGCGGGGTGCTGCGCTGGACGAGCACTTTCCCGCGGCCGGCGATCGGAGCAGACACCCGGGCGGCACGAAACCGGAAAGCAGCCCGCCGACTGCGGAGAGC